CCTCTAATTCTCTTCATTGTTGTTTTTTGCCTTTACTGTGGGTTTAGTGGAGTCCCAGACAGCAGAGGCAGGAACATGGGGGTCAGCCTGCTGGTTTCACCCATAAGTTTCAAGAGGAGGTTCATCAGGAAAAAGGGGTGCAGGGCACTTTAGAGTTGTAGGCATGTTCTGCATTAACAGCCTGGCACCTGCAGTCACAGCTACAGGGTCATGATGAAGGGAATGATAGGTCATGGGAGGGCACTGCAGAAATGCAGACCAAAGCATATACTTCCCTGCATGCCCATGACCTCTTCTGTACATGAGCATACTCTGAGGCCAGAGTCTCTTATGAGTCTTCTAAATTCCACTAGTAATTTACATGCGTAATAGGACCTTTGGACACAAAATGAGAAGCTAATAAATTATTGACAACGAAAATGTTCCATTAAAATGAGCTCTAAATTCCAGGGCCACTGAGCTCCTAAGAATAGGTAATCCATTCAGCCACCTGCACACTCTTTTTTTTTCTTTTCATTTTTTCCATATGCAATCAAAAGCTCTCCTCTGAGCCAGCTCACGAGGGAGCACAGACAGGTCAGACAGGATTCCTCCACTGACATAGCTCACACCACTGAGGCACTATGGTTTGGTGTTCACCAAGCCCAGGATCTGGACACAGATTATGGTCTCAAAGGAAGTATGAACCTGATCGGAGTGTGTTTGCTACAAGTGTACATAAACTAGCAAAGTGCTAAAGGAAAGCCAAGAGTGTCAGGATCGCAGGTATACTTGGATCTGTCCACCGCCCAAAGCGTAAAGCCATGCATTGGTTGGACTCTCTTATTGTATGTCAGTTGCTCCAGAGGCAAGATGTATATTAGAAACTTACTACCTTGCTTTCTTTGCCACTGGAGGGCAACAGTAGGAATTATTAATGATGGGGCTCCTGATTTATAGGGGCTTGCTGAAAAATATACTATGTTTATGTTTCTTCCCCCCACTCCCTTCCACTTTTATGAGTACTGTTAAGTTTAATTTCAGCATGTTAAGTAATTTGTGACTCACTGAAATGAAACTTAATTCAGTCCTCATAAAAACAGAATCAAATGGTATTTCCATGTTTCGTGGTATGGTTTGAATCAGCCTGCTATTTGGAACATAGTAGAATCTAGTCAAAATGCCATTTTGGAACCTCTTATCCTCTACCAACTAGTTACTATGTTCCTCTACATTTCCCAGAATTCCTTCAGCTACCCCAAAATAGCAAAATTTATAGCTGAAGGGAACAGAGGAAAAAAGCAAGTAAGCAAGTCGCGGCACTCTTTCTTGAAGTGCCATCTTAAACAAAGTGTGTATGGTTTCTACCTTTTTGCCATTATCTTATGATAATTATTCTAACATTTTAGAAATTACATTAGTATTATTTTCTTTAAACAACTTTCCTTGCCTTAGTCATTCACAAGTACCACAGGAATCCAGAACATCCTGTTCTTACAAATACTACAGCTAGGCATAAATACTGTATTTGTCTTTAATTTTTGATCTTATTTAAGTGTGCTCAATTTTTATGATAAAAGTTCGTGAACCATTATTAATAATTTGGAGTTTTATGAGAAATGATTTAAGAGTAGGCTAAGATTAATCTTTACAACCTCTCTCTGAAAAAATTATATTGTTAGAAAAATTACAAATGGTCTTTAACTACCTTCAGAAAGCAAGTTAGTTGTTAGGTCTTAATCTTGAGTGGTGTTTGTACCCAGGGGCTGCTGTCATGTGCCAGGATGGGGGTCCTTCTGCTTGGACTTGGGAACTGCCTGGAGGCAGCAGGTCCTCAGGGCACAGCTATCCAGGAGATGGGCCTTCTGGGAAGTGGCAGATTGTTGTCTCCCTGAAGCAGGGCAAAGTTCCTGAGGGGTGAGACCACTGTGGCGCATCGTGAAAGGTGCCTTCATCTGTACCTCTGGGCCCTAGTGATTCTGCTGGTCAATGTCAGGCTCACTGCAGGTACCAGTACACACAGGGGTGATGACAGTGGGGAAAGTGCTGAGATAGTATGGGGGAGAGGTGTCTGTGCCCCAATGTCATTCCATCACACCTGCAGAGGGCTGAATGTTTGTGTTCCCCCCAAATTCATATGTCAAACCTTTAATCCCAATGTGATGGTCTTTGGAAGTAAGACCTCTGGGAGGTGATTAGGTCATGAGAGTGGTGCCCTCACAAATGGGATCTGTGCCTTTGAAAGAAGAGGCCAGAGAAGGAGCAAGCTCTCTTTTTTCCATGTGAGGACACAGGAAGAAGTCAGCAGCCTAGGCCCTCACCAGAAGCCAACCATGCTGAGACTTTCAGCCTGTAAACACTGAGGAAGAAATGTCTGTTGTTTAGGAGCCACCCAGCCTGTGGTACTCTGTGACCACAGCCTTAATTGAGACAACATCCAAGAGCAGAACAGGCTTGGGTTCGATGCCCTTATGATCCTAGACGTAGGACTATTAGACGACACTAAATGACATCTTGCCCTTGTTCCACTGATGAGAGGACTGAAGGTTTCACTGTCAGTACAGTGCTGACCTAGGAGGGGAAAGATTCCCTAGTGGGTTGGAAGGGCTGTGATTAAAATCAAAGCCATGCAAGGAACCCACTGGCACAAATTACTTAGAGCTGAAATTATGTCCAGCCAGTAACACAGAGCACACTGGCCAGAGAATTTCAGGATTCTGAGAAGTATCTTCCCAGTGGCAAGAATACTATAGAAGATGCAGGCAAGGGGCTTGGGGTGGATCAGCTGGTGTTGCTCTTATTTGGGAAATTGTAACCCAAGGAGTGTAAGTCATGGGAGAGTGTGACCCCCACACGTGTGTAATTTAGGAAGGAAATTAACTCTGCACTTGGCTCACTTGCAGGCTTACCAAGAACTGTCAGCAATGCCTTGATTCAGTAATAATGATAAGGACTTTGTTCACAATACCTGAAGGGCAGGGCCTTGCACATTCTTTGTTACAAGAAACATCCCTGAGAGCCCAACTCAGTCACTCAACCCTGCCTCCCTCCCTGGGAGGCAACCTTGCCAAGACTCTTGGGCTCCAAGCCTTTATCACCCACACTTACCCATCTTTGATAACACAGCCAGGCAGCCCCAAAGGAGTCTGGATCTTGTCAAGCTTTTCTTATGAAAAAAATGTATGTTTGGAAATGGCTTGGACTTTGCAAGGAAAAAGAAATCCACTTGGGTTGAAATGGTTTATTGCAGAAACCACCTAGAAGTTGTCATTATGTCTGTCTTCCTGTCTTGTTTCCTTTTATTCTGTTTTTTATTCATGCACCAAAATTCTGCTAGGCATTGGGAAGCAGAGAATGAAGCAGGCCTGCTGCCTGCATGGCTAAGTGGGCCTGAGGCTCAGAGGCTGTCGTCTGGCACAGATGAGCAAGGATGACAGTGTGTGGGAAAAATATTTTTCCCAATATTTTTAAGATTTCCTTGAAAATGAGTATTATTAACTTTGGAAGATGTGGGGTCTGAAGTGCCAAGAGCCTTAGAGCCCCTAGAATGCAGTTTCTTTCTTCCAATTACACTCTGAAGGGCCCTCAGTGGCCCTTGATAAGCGGACGCCATGGATAGTCTCACAGAGGGGCTGGGCAATGGGAGGCCAAAGCAGCCTGAACCTTAGAGGAAAGCCCTGGTGTTCCTTTCTATGCCAAGTGCACAGGAATCCTGACACTGATTCATCTGCTGCAGACTCTGGCAGCTGCCTTCTCTGATAGCTCCCACAGGCTTGCCTGCCCAGGACACAGTTCAGGGAAGGTGGCTGCAACAATGACTGGAACAGGTGTCCATGGCAGAGGAAGACAGGTTCCTGGGTACTGTGTCTGAATGTGTGTTCCCCTAAATTTGTATGTTGAAATCCAAACCCCCAGAATGATAGGGTTAGTGGGTGAGGCCTTTAGGAGGTGATTAGTTCATGAGGGTGGGGCCCTTACAAATGGGATTAGCACCCTCTGATAAGAGAGATGCAGAGAGAGCTCAGCAGCCTCTTACATCACATGAGGACACAGAAAATGCCATCTATGAGAAACACACCCCGACCAGACACCAAGTCTGCTTGTGTCTTGTCCTGATATTCCAGCTTCCAGAACCATGAGCAAGAAGTTTCTGTTGTTTATAGGCTGTCTAGCTTATGGGGGTTTGTTATGGCAACGTGAGTACTGAGTGGACTGAGATACTGGGGCTCTCCCATAACTTGCCCAGATTGACCCAGAAATATGGTAGGTGTGGCATAATTCAGGTGGCATCGCCTGAGCCACACCCCTCTAGGTACTGAAAATAGGCACCTTCTTGACCATTCTCCCCAATTTCTAGCTGCTGTATTACATTGGGAAGATGTTTGTTCTGATGGCTGAATAGGGAGCACAGAGTTACCTCTGCTACCCTAGGCCAGGAGGACTGCCCGGGGAGGGCACAGGCTACAGTGTGTCTGAGGTTGGGTGTGATAATGCAGTGGAGGGTGAGCCTCCTTCCTTTATTCTTCCCTCCCTCCTTTCTACTTATCTTCTTAAATAATTATCATATTCTAATGAGTTATAGATATCTAAGATAAGTATGGAATTGGGGGCTTGTTTTCCAGTGGATGGAGTGCCCCCCCAAAGCCAGGCAGGCACATTGACCTGCCTGGTACCACCTGTAGCAGAACTGAGCAGTCTGTTCTGCTACACCTTTTGTGGCCAAATAGCACAGCTGCCCAGATACCCTCCAGTCTCATCTGAGTATTCTGCCTACCCTTTTGTTGGTCTTAAAAGTCCAAAATAATTTGAAAAGTTTAAAAAAAACATATAGTTTCTGTTCTTTCAGCCATCTCAACTCCTTGTTAGCCTGTTGGGGACCTGCCACTCTGTCACTGTTAGGGGCAGATGGTAGCACCACTAGGTGTCTTCCTGAATCAATCCACTCTCCCAGGCCTCCCAAGACCTCAACTCCACCCTAAGCCCCAAAGCCCCACCAAGAACATAAAGAAAAAGCATGTCACCTGGCACCTGCCGTGCACGCAGAGGTCAGTCTCGTAGGGCCCACAGGGAGTGCCATCCAGGACCCTGTCAGTCACCAGTAGCGGAGACTCCTTCCCCAGGGGTGAGCAGTAGAGTTCACATGGCTTATCTGAGGAGGGAGAGATGGGTGGACGTTGTCCTGGGAAAGGGAGTGTGGGCCCATAGGGTGCAGACACATGTGGGCAGGGAAAGCCCCAGGGAAGAGAGGTTGGCACAGGTAAATAGTGGTCATGGCACCTCAGCATACTTGCTCAGGTACACGCACCAGCTCACCTGATGCCAGACACAGCATGGGGAGAAAGACCCTCAGGCTCAAGAGGATGACAGCACAGGTCAGAGCTCCAGGGGAGCTTCCTTCTTCCTAAAGATATGGTACTTCCCCCTCTTAAGACACTAAACACACCAGGCTGAACAAAGGTCTGGTTGTGTGCTAACCCCTTTGTAAGCTGAGTGGTGTCAAGGGTGAAGCCAGGAGCTGCTCTTACAGCAGGGGTGGAGAGGTTGTTTGAGAAGGTCAGTGTTCCCAGAGCCCCTGGGTAACAGCACAGAGCTGTGCTATGGGGTCCCTGGGAGAAACTGGGTGGGGTAAGGCACAGAGAGGGGACACAGGGGCTGCTAAGATAGCTTATGCACAGAGACAGGACATGGAGACTACTAAAATAACTTGTTTTAGTTGTGTACTCAGACAGGATGGAACCCCAGTGTCTGATGCTCCTGGAACTCCCAAACACTCCCAGCTCTCATGCCTTTGCCTGGACTGCTCTATCTGCCTGGAAATCCCCCCTATCTTTGGCCTCTTTGAAGGGCCCCATCACCCTGGAAGCTTCCACTCTAGGCGTATCCCCTCATGCTGTGGGGAAGACAGGCCACTGCACTGGTGCTTGGTACACCCCTCTAGTAAAGCCTGATCAGCCTGTTGCTGTGCAACTGTCCAGGCACCTCCCACATACCACGTGAGTTATCGTGAGGCAGGTCCCAAGGCTAAGGGAGTGTGAAAGGAATGAACTTCGACTACCTTCACACTGACACTCTGCTGAGCCTGGGAGCCCTGAGGGGGCAGGGGACCAAGTCCTCATCTTTTGACCCCAGACTGGGCCCAAGACTGTGGTCACAGAAGGACTATATTTTTGAACAAATGAGTGTATTTGGTTCTTCTGTAAGTCACTGAGCAGGTGGAATGCTCCTTTTTTCTCTTTTCCTCAGGCACCTAACCTTAACGCCACTCACGTGATTGTTCTGCACAGGGAGCCTCCTGGGAGTCAGAGACCTTCACACTGCCTTGCCAGGCCCTGTGTCCCCACCAGCAGCCCTCCCCATGTGGGCCTTCTAGTGGTCTTGGGCTAACAAGGGCAGGGACAGAGAAAGGCTTGTACAACTGATTTGGCCTTGGAGGAGCTCAGTGTTCTAGCTGCAGAGTTTTCATCAGAGTAGATGTGCTGTCTCACCCAGGCTCAGGGGCTCTCCTGACCGAATGACTAAACTACCCCTGTGTCCAATTGCCTTCCAGAGCCACCTCCCATGTAGCTCAGCTGGTCAACATGCTTGGTAGAGAATTCTGTCTCAGAGCACCAGGAAGAAGCTCCTGGGGTGTGGTGGAAACACTGGGTTTAGTCCTTCTAGTTATCTGCTGTGAAGAGGGGACTAGAGATTAGCCTCCCAGGTCAGCAAAGAAATGCTGTGCCAACATTTAGTCAATCAACAAGCACAGAGTGAGCCCACCCTTACGCAAGGTACTCAGTGGGCACTGCTGAGGAAAGATGTGTGATGCAAGCTTTTCAAGGCCCTGTGGGCTTACTGTCCAGTGACATGTCCCCTGTGATGGGGCTGATGTGAGCTGTCAGAAGGCCAGATGTACCCTGGAAGGAATGACATATTTCTCACACCCCAGGCTGGAAGTGGTTGTGGAGAACTGTGAAAGGTGGAGATGTAAACTGTGATAAGCTCTTGGAGGCTCCTTTGACGAGATAATTGAGGTGCTTTGGGAGCCCTGAGGTTCTCTTTTGGGGGGAACTGGTGCCACTATTATTTCATTGGAAGGAAGGGTCCCTTGGCTGCAGTAGTTTGAAACTGTGGATTTTAATTACCTTTAGACTGAAGAGTTGACTCAGTGGTGTGAGATGATTTGTACAATAGCTACAATAGTGATGATGGCAGTAAAATCATAAATAATGTTTCCTATCTACCATGTGCCCGGCAGCCCAGCATAGTATCTATGCATTTTAGGTGGGTGCTGTCACCGTGCCATCCTACAGATGTGCACGCAGGGCTCATGGGATGTGCCAGACAGTCCAGGCTCTCTTGACTGGCAGGGCCAGACCTTGGCCTCTGAGCTCTGGCCTGGCTCAATTCCCACCACCACTACTTGCTCTCTGAATGGAGAACTCATGGGCCCTAAATTACGAAGGAGCAAAATGACATTGCTGAAAACAAACTACCAGTTTCACAAATGTTTCTGGCTCTGGAGTATATACTCTGAAGGGAGCAGAAATGGAAATGAGGTTTGCATAGAATAGTAGAGGCTGTTTTGAGGCAAGTTAGAAAGACCAGACTTGGCACATATAAAGATTTTTTGTCTGGGCTCTTTGGTGTGAATGTCAGAAAAGTGGGGGCTCTCCAAGGCCAACCCTGGATGAAGCAACATTAGCCATGATCCCAGCAAAAAGATCCATTCCGTGCCACCTGTTTGGGTGGGATGCCTCCACCTGTAGACATTGCTCTCTCTGGCTTGGCCAGCCTGGGACAACCAGGCTCCAGAATAGTTTTCAGAGTTGGGGTTTCCTTTTTTTTGCTCAGCCACAATTCTCCTCATTTGTCCATCTCCTTTTCTGAAGCCTCTACTCAGAATTCAGGGAACCTACTCCTCTGGCAAGGCCTAACACTATCTCCCAAATGGTTATCTAAAGATAACCATTTAAAATACAAGAAGGTAGCTCAGGGCCCCTCGAAATCTATTTCCATCCAGGCTGTGCTGAGTGGGAAATTAATCTCTAGGAGACCCTGATACAAGGCAGTGGGACTCAGTGTTGATTCTTATATTCCAAGCAGTGTAGAAGCTACGGAAGGAGATTTTATGCTCTTAAAAGTTATACAACCACACACTCGAAGTAAAGAAACTTTTTTTTTTTTT